ACTTGCTCGTTTTTGTCGGACAAGTTCATTTAAATTATATTTCACTCTCATATTTTATAGCGTACGGCTAAGTGAAGACCCCTTATGTAATTCAGACTGGAACAATCTGGTTAAATAAGAACACCTGATGAAAACCAGACAATTGTTTTTGAAACAAGGCCTTTGTCTCGCCAGCTGAGTCATTAAAAAATTGAATACGCGCAATTCAGAGGTAGGGACAATGGGACGAGGGGAGTCCAAACTATGGAAGGGATGGGATCACATTATTCAATCCGCGGCGAAAAATCGTTAGTTCGCCTCCTTCTTCCTAGCATTAGACGCACCTGCTCTCGGCTCTTATACCAGATTACGCCTAACCGCTATAATCTGCTTTCAAGTATCCCTCCCAGAACGTATTTGGACTGTTGGCTGTTGAATGGGGGATCACGGCACTGGGTGGTTGCCTTACCTACTGCCGACCTCAGAACCATGACCGTATTCCTCTTTTCTCCGGGAAAAGGTGCCCAAAAGAATAATGTGCATAAACCGATTTCCGGATTTAAGAAAATAATGTTATTACTCTGTTGATGACCCCCCTCCAAATATATAGTGTCCCAAACAAATTACAGCACGTACCCAGTCCAGAAAAGCCCTAAATTATCTTAAACGTCTGACCGACGTGACCTATAGTAAATGCAAGGCAAATACCGTTTCGACTAGTTGTCTCCAGCGTAGCAGCGCGGCAGTATTAGCAGCGCCGCCGATCAGTCAGGGCCATCCGCCCCCTGACCAATGAACGCTGTGCTTGAACATTCGATCGCGATTGGTGGTTGCATCAGCTGCTGCCGGTTTAAGGCCTCTGCGTCAGAACTAACGGAAACCGCTCGACAATGGAAGATTTCGGAAAAACAGCGAAGGGCACTCCCGTGAAAAAGATAACCATAAGGCCGAAACTCCCAGAAAAATTGGCCTCGGGCAGCGATGGTGAAGTATGGAGCGGAGTGAGAGCCGTCTTCCTCAACTACGGTGCAGTCCTCCATCAGCTGTGGATCCCTGGCCACACGGACACGAACGGCAAGAAGACGACGTCCCTCACTTTGGCCGATGTGGTTCTCGGTTATCCGGACGTTAGCGGTTACGAGATAAACAAACCCTTTCACGGGGCCATAGTTGGGCGTGTGGCTGGTCGCATTAGTAATGCTCGCCTTTGCATTCCCTACGAACTGGATCCCTCCATGAACGGCTTCTATAGATTGACGGATAATATGAAGAAACTACACTGTCATCATGGCGGAACGTTAGTTTTACCTTTTCACCTCGTTGCTCGCCACTTCTGCCTTTCATTTTTTAATGATCCCTACAGTGTTCAAAGGAAGTAGAGATGTATACTCCTCTTAGAGTCAAAATATCTCCAATTATTAGGGCCAGGCATCAGGCACCTCTTTCTGTCCAGCATGTAAGGCTTTGAAATAGCAATAACCAATCAAGTAACAGTGACTTTTAAAGTTGCAATCTCCGCTTTAGGTACGACTAAGACGATACGTTTTTGTTTTGTTCTTTAAAGTTCTGCGTTGGTTAGAAAAAAATAGCTGTTTCACTCGGTTTAACTTGGCGAAAACGTCGATTGTCCAACTATCACCTTAATTGATTAATATTTATAGCAACCTTGCTAGCACGTGGCTGCTTCAAGGGCTGAGGTAAATTGGACAGTATTTTCACGAATTCCATTATACTTCGTGGTTCGCATTATATACTGTAACTAATACAGTTTTACTTATGTGATTTACAAATTTGGATCGTCCTTTCTTCTGGTCTGTTCTCGTCCAGACTGCAGGATTAAAGGCCGGGATTTAAACAGATGACCCAGTTAACTCTAGTCGCCCCCAGAACAAGTAACGGAAAGCGGTTTGCCCGTGCAATGGTTTATACGGTTTGATTTAGGCAAGGAGCGTACTCAGGCTACCTGTTCTGCAAAAAGGCTTGCAGTATTATTAATCAGTTGTAGTGAAAATTAAAGAAGGGCGATCTCGGAGATCAGATCAAAACCCCGCCCATTCCAATGCAGTCCAGTCTTCAAGACGGGAACGTGTGCTAGCAGGGAACAATAGTCTAATATGTAGCTAAACTGTACGGCCCTGATTATGATAATGTACAGAGTGGAGGATTTATTTCATACTTTCATACCGAACTACTGGACAGATTAACAGCCGTATTTCGAGAACTTATAGGCGTTTCCCTCATTTGTGTTATATTGCACTTTCTAATCACTTTGTCTAAAATTTCGAATAAAGCATTAGTTTAGTCGTTTTAAAATAGACTATATTGCATTCCTTCAAATGTTCCTAATAGTTTTGTTTACATTCGTGAAGTTCTTAATGCTCCCCTTAAAGTTTTCAGGGCGCATAGAAAATACAATCTCCTTTATCCATATGCACTCACGAAAGAAAATGTGGCGTGACCAATGACCCGCACTTGTAATTGCTTGACCCAATAAGTTACGATGACAGGAGTTAGTTTAATTTTTCGGACAATAAGCTTTTTGCTTTCGAATTATTTGAAGTCCGATTTGTTTCTACCATTGAAATCGTCTGCACACACGCCCATTACTGCAAGCCTCGAGTTTGGCTACCAGCTGACTTCGTTACTGCAAAATAATTATTTAACTGACATCATCAAGTGTTTTCTGGTTAGCTTGGCAGTAGTGTCTCGCAACCAAAAATACAGTCAATAATGAAATCTCGACTAGTATTTTGAAATGCGTTTTCCATGTTTGCGGGGTTGTAGGAATGAACATCATGCAGCACAATCCCCTGCTATTGCAAACACAACAGAATGCTGGCTTTTGAATGCGACAACTGCGGTCGGCTGCAAAAACTGAACTCGTCAAAAAATGACTGCTTGCTCAATATGCACTTTTCCCATTGATTTGAGTGGCTTGCACACTGACTTTTGTGAAGATGCTTTCACAAGCTCAAACGGTTCAAAATGCCGGATTTTTAGCAATTAGCAGCTGCTTGGATGTTAACTTCAACGGACGTATGGTCAGACAATGATTGCTGAGGGACTGGATCGAAAGTCCCACCCCCCGAGATGGCGTCAGATGCCCTATCACTCAGCGATCGCACTCAGATTCGCCAACCTTTTCCAAAGTTCAATCGTCCCGGAGGCTAGATGTAAGGAAAGGGACTTATCGATACACTGATACGAATGGCAGTCGTGAGGGCGATTTCTCAGAGGTATAGTAGGTGGGCTAACTCATGAAATGTCAACCGAAATTCCGAAATGCGTTTTAGTGTTGAAATGATTAATTAGGTAGGGTTGTAAAACTAGTCAGCCTGCAACATAATTCTATAATATTTCAGTTACCTCAGGATGCCGGCTTTCGAACGAACGCCCTTCCGATTGCAGGCAAAAACTACACACTGTAAAAAACGAATACTTAATCAGCACGCATTTTTATCATTGATTTTCGATGCCCATTAATTTCTAATTATATTGAATGAAAACATACATAAAAATATCCATTCTTTTGCCCATTCTGTAGAAAATTACGTTTTTTTCTAAAGTTATACCCGAAGAAGGAACATAATTCGACTTTAAAAAGTTTCTAATTGTGGGACTTTTAAATACCGCGGAATGGCCGTTCATAAATCGTTATGTCTCTGCGCTTACCAATGCGGTTTGTACAATATGGATCAAACCCACTGCTAAATTTTACGCACCCTATATAGTCCCCTTTTATTACCGTGGAGAAATGTATGGTTTTCCGTACGCGAAAAATATATGGCTTGTAGTTTTGAAACCCTGAATCCAAGTGTAAATGCAGGTCGCGTTAACAATCATTCGGGAAAAGTTTCTGAAAACCGAATAATACCCTTCCTTCGAGTACAAAATTGGAAGAAGACGTCATTTTCTACCGAACGAGCAAAAGAATGAATATCTTTATGCATGTCTTCCAAGAAATATAATTGGACTTTTAAGGACATCGAAAATCAATAAGAAAAATGCGTGCCAATTAAGTAGTCGTTTTTTACAGAGTGTAGTTTTTGTATGCAGCCGGAAGGCAGTTCATTCGAAAGCCGCCATGCTGAGGTAACCGATATATTATAGAATTATGTTGCTGGCTGGCTAGTTTTACAACCCTACTTAATTAATTTTTTCGAAATGAAAATGCAGCTCGTAATTTCGATTGACATTTCATGAGTTAGCCCACCTACTGTAGATCCCGCCGCCTTTCTTCCATAATTTGGCTGTTCGAACCTATTGCACTGAAAACGCTCATAATCGGTATGATTTCCCCGTTTCTATTGTCCTGCCTAGAAAGTGTTCATACTGCAACCGTCACGCTTCCTGCAGAAAGTGCTGCTGTCGAAAACCGTGACTCATTTTATCCCGCTTACAGTAAGATTAAGGTTTAGTCTTTTTGCAAAAACAGTCTTCGGTGAGAGATGGAAATAAGGCCATGATAGGAGGAAAATGATCAAACTCATTAGATAGGAAGGAAAGTCAGTTGTAAATGACTCCTCCTACGCTTTGCTTTCGTTGCTATTGTAAGTTTCAGTCACACTTTGAAATACTTAACTCACTTTCCCTATTTTTTGACATTTACCCTACTATCGAGATGCCCCATCCACAAAACCACCAGTATGGTAAGACAGGCGGATGTGGATAGCTGGTGATACTTGGGGGCCTTCATTAGATCCTTGCCGGCCTTTTTGTAGAAACAATCTTCTGTAAGATATGAGGATAGGGCCATGATAGATGGGAGGTGATCAAACTCAAGAGATAGGAAGGAAAGTCAACTCTGAATGATTCGTTCTATGAATGTGGTGAGATGTTCAGTCCTAATATCTGCCCCAGGATTATCCTGACGACGACAGAAACAACGCAACCTTCTAAAAACTGCTATACAGTTACGCTCAAAACCTTTCGGGATGCCGTCAAACGGTTTGACGTACTCGTGAGTGAAATAGCTAACGGCCTTTGCATATGTGACTCTTATGTTCTACTAACGACAGCTTTGACAGCATATGTGAGTCTAAGCAAGGAGCCTCTGTTGGTAGTCTGAGTCATTTAGACCAAGGAGTCTGTTCTCATGGCTAGATTGATTTATGCATCATTCCTCCTAGAGTGTTTTTGTTTCGGCAGCTAGGATCCCGAGAGAAAACGGTTGTCCAGGCAAGAGTAGTTCACACAAATCTATCCTCGCACGGAACCCCTTCTAACAAACGCATTTTATATGGAAGTGAACGAATTCACGAGCTGTACTAAATCAGACTAATTAATTGCGTATTATACTGCCTGAACTATAGCGGCTGCAACTTTCGTGAGGTGACTTGACAGTTGTCGTTTGAGGTGGGTCACGATAAATCTCTAGTTTTTGTCCACAGACGCCAACTCACCACCTGATGCGAGTTGAATAAACGATACTGTTGCACCGCCGCTCATTGTTCCAGAATTTCGAGGGAAAGAAGATGGTCCATGTCGCAGAGCTGACTACCGTTCTCTTTTTCGGCAACCCTTTTTGAGGATTACTCACTCACTCGCGTTTTTCTTAACTCAGAATATCCCTCAGAGACACTTGCTGCAATAGAACAGTCTGAAGGGATATTGGGTAGAATTTAGGATATCTTCTAGCAAAGGATAGCTGACTTAAGTTACTTATCAACACATCAGTCTCATAAATGTAAGTTTTAAGAACGACCAGAAGACTTAATTCTTTTCACTGAAATTCAGGTTTGGACTATCGAAACGGACATGGGAGATTCTGGAATTGAAGTCAGACAGTGTCAAGTTTAAAATCTTCTCCCCTGATGGTGATGAGGGTTTTCCCGGCAACCTAACCGTCTATGTGACCTATCGCATAACAGTCAACTCTGAGGAGAAAATCGAACTCTCCATCGACTACTTTGCCTGCGTGGCTGACGGCATCACTCCACTGAGTCTAACCAATCACACTTATTACAATCTGGCGGGCCACCTAGCGGGACCGGAGGCTCTGGACCGACACATCGCTTGCATCGCTGCGGACCGGCTTCTCGAGACAGAAGGCGATCTCATTCCCACGGGTCGGATCCAGAGGGTAGAAGATGTGGACGGTGCAGATTTGCGCAAACCAGTTAGCCTGAAAGATGGTCTGCAGAAGATTCAGCCAGCACCGTTTCAGGGCTATGATGAGTACTACATCTTCAATCAGATTCCTCCAGATGAGGCCAAGGTAACCGTCTCGGAGCCAAATTCTGGCCGTCGGGTTGAGGCCTTCAGCGACCAGCTGGGAGTCCAGTTCTACACTGGCAATTGTCTGGAGCCAAAAACTGATCCAGTGGGCAAAAATGGCTACAGTTATCCACAACACAGCGGTTTCTGCATTGAGTTGCATGGCTTTCCGGACGCAGTGAATAAACCCAACTTCCCACAGTGCTTTATCATTCCAAATGGGAAGCCCTACACTCAGAAGTCGAAGTATGTGTTCTCCTTCTAACTGCATGGGGCCTATCTAGCCACAGGGTCTGGCAGACGATTTAGATGCAGTTTCAAAGACTATCTGACTTAATTTCGCTTCTTATCCTTTTTCCGTTTGCCTTGTCGAGAGTGAAACGGCGCGCTTGTCCTCGGTGATGTTTTTAGACGCGCGCCTTTCACGTCTAATCCTGGGCTTGACCCTGCAGAGGATATGGCTCCTCATATATTTTGGCCCTTTAAAGCTTGTCATGTGGTGGCTCTGTGCGAATCTTTCCATCTCAAATTATATTTTTGTCACAACTGTTTGCAATTATAAATCGTTAAACCAATCACAGCTCTCTGTCACATGAGAATGCCATTCACTGATTCATCTCCTTTTACTGAACGGACTAGAATTGATTCCTTCTTGTTGTACAGCTGCAGTCCACAAATTTTGCGGTTGGCCGCATAGAGACGAGCAACTGATACTCCAATTGCTGCTTATTTGCCTCAGTCATTTGGTCAGGAATCAACCGCAGACTCTGAGAGGTTTGTTATTTAAGGCCGACCCACTCGGTTGTCGAACACTTGGGTTAGAAATGTTTTACTTGAACCACAAACGGTTATTTCAGTCACCTCGTCAGAATGACATCTTAGTCACATTTCCGATACATCATGTCACATGTCCCTTACTTTCCCTTTGTGGATTGGAAGGTGATAAGACATGGGGTAAGTGCCTTTCTGAAATTAAATTCCCAAAGAGTGCCTACTTATTCGATTTAGGTAGCTGAAAAACGAAATCTAACGAAGGGTAGGATTACGTGCATACGCGGACTGCAGAACTCATTGGCGTGTATGGGATTACTGTACAAGACTGGCCACATGAACACAGCGTTAATGTTTTCGGAAATTTAATAAGCGTTCTGTGTCACCGCTCGACGTGAGTGCGAAGCCAGCAGGCCTACGCACCAGTGTGTTAAGTATTGGTGAGTTCATAGCTATACGGGGTAATTGGTAGGCGTGCCTGCCCAAACCCAGGACGCATACGTAGCCCGGCACGAAGTTGTTTACATCCGCGAGTTAGTAGACGCATGGGGCCACCAATCGGGGTGCCTATGCGAACGCGTCCATGCGGCTAAATGGGTGACTAGGAGGAAACCAACTGAAAATAAGGTGATCCGAGGGAAGGGGTAACAAAAGGCGTAAACAGAAACTGACGGGCCCACCATTTGGCGTGGGATGCTGCTGACCAGAGTAACGTTAGGAAAGAAAAAAGGGAGCGATTGGCTGACGGCACTGTTGACGGCATGCACTAACTGTCCGATTTTGTTGTCAGCCAGCAGAAAATCGATCGATTGATGCTGTGCCCGGCCTGGCAGGTGTGTGAGACAGAAGTATAAATACATGGATTCATAACGGCGGTCTAGGCTCCATCCATCAAAGTAGATAAACAAACCTATGGGACGGAGCTTACTCAATGGCCGGTGGTGTTCTTCCCAAGTGGGCAACCTACGCTTTCATCCGACGTCGTAGACAGCAGGACTCACCGTCCACAGCTTGAAGTTATTAATTGGCTTAGCAGCCGGCAGTATGGACAAAGAACAAAGGACGTTTTTCAGCGACCTTGTTGGTGGCTGGTACGAAAGCGGCTGTGGATTATAAAGCCCGTTAGAAACGTTTTATATGGCGTAGCCAAAGACTGCGTGGATCCACATGACAATTGGCCCTACAGATAAGTTTATTTGAGGCAACATTTCCTCGGAATGAATTAAATGCAAGCATAGACAGCAGAATTTATTGAAACCAATAAATTTCGTGACGGCTTATTAACTGCAGCTTGTCGTTGCATAACACAGATAACAAATGAGAAAGATGCAAAGGTTTGAACTTCCACGAAGAGAATCAATATAAAACAGCAAGGTCATCGTATACTTCGCGTAGACTAATCAATAAAATAGGAATTTGAAAACACAGCATAGGAATGAAAACGGGGAAGTTAACACGCCGAGGGATTGCGCAAATCAAAGGGCTCAGATTTATCAGAGCAAGCTGAGGTTGACCACGTGGTCTAACTGTCTGCATAGGTCGAATTTCTACCAAACTGTAAGTAGCGCAGTATCCGAGTTGTTCGTGTCCGAACTAATACTCGAAAAGATGTTGTGGGGTAAACCGAATGACCGCTATCTAGGAGGTGCTTTGTGATTGAAAACCGTGGAATTTTATTCTCCTGCCTTAGAAGCCATTTAGGCAGGTGCTCAACCGACCTGGCTTCTAATTGCCATTGCGTTAGCCCAATGCACTTGAATTCACTAGTGCATGTAAGTTCGTAAACATGCTTTGACGTGGCGTGTAATGGCAAGGCATCCTTCGCCCGTGGAACTTGGATAACCTCAGTGGGGCTGCAGAAGATGAGTTCAGCTGAGTTGTATGTTCTTGCGATGGCGCATCTCAATTGTCGCTTGATGATATTTGAGATGTTGTCACCCTTAAAGTGTAAGGATACTACAACGGGCTTTTTCGGAACTGACTGTTCCATAAATTTTGGCCATAAAGTGTCGCTGTTGTCTGGATCGCATAAGCAAACAATCTATGGGAATGTATTTCACGGGGTTTACTTATTCTCCTAAGCAATCGGTAGTGGGACGGTATATTTTGGTTGAGAGAGTTTAACAGAATATCGCTTTGAAACCAACTTCGTAATTGAGTGTCTAGGGAGGGGACTACGTCGAGGTAAAATTTAGTGGCTATTTCAACTCAATCTGAAAAAGAGGCAAAAAGTAGACTGTTCGAATCATCATAATTTCCGAGCGATTCTCTCCGCCTTCCCTCCTAGCTGGCGAGACTGATAGTCACCGTCCACGGCCGCATACACTTTTTTGCAGAAATCAGGTAACCGTACACAAATGGACTTTATCGAAGACATTGCCAGTACTACAGTACGGCGTCCTCATATAACTTAAACCACTCAGCCCAGTTGACATCAAATCTCTCATCCGCACTTCAGGCGGACCCTGTTACTGCTCGCTGATAACTCAATCGGCAAAAATGTCAACCAGCATTGGTCCAGCGCCAGCCACTTACCGTTGTAATCGCTCCGCAGGCATAAAGGCTGCTCAGTCAACTTTCGGCCTCTACTTTAGGAATGCCCTATAATAGTAGCACTCGACACTGAGTGCTGAACTCGCCATCTAAACTGCGAGTCGCATAGGGCTAATTTGGAAAAAAAACGGTCTCGTTGATACCATACTCACACCCTCTGCCCCAGTGCACTTATTCAACCGGTGTCCAAAGCGGAATGGAAAGACAGTGAGCCGCAGTGGTCCCTTGATAATCGATACACTGTTTCAGTCCTGATGGATCTCGTTTCAAAAATAAAGCTACTTTTCTCTCCGGCAAGGAAACGTCACCAAATTGAAAACAACTCCCTAAGGACTTATCCGCTCGATACGCACCGATCCAAGTTCCGAGATGGTTATTTAATTATTCGCGCTCTGTGAACCAGCGCATAGAGTCTGACAGAGGAAACTCGATGCATCCGTAGACACGCTTAAGATTTCAGCAGTGCTTATGCTCACATACAGATGGCTCTGAAAGTGGACAAATATATTTGACAAAGAAAAAGGCAAAAACGACCCTACACGATTATATTTTGGGACAGGTGCTGAACAGGCCCTATAGTCTGGAGGTCTCATGCCCAGTTTCTAAAACAATGTCTGCGCCCAATGAGAATGGCTTACATCACAGATTCGAACATCAGATGCCCAATGACAGTTCGGTTATGGCGAACGATGGTGTCCATCGAATGTTCCACATTAAGATACCTAGAGCGTTGGTTGTACTAAGGCCTTCCACCTGCTGTCTTGGGTTCGAATCTCACCGAGGCGCCGAGTTCTTCCCGGCTGGGTCAGTATGAACGCCAAACTTGTCAAGGCGGTCAAACGCCAAGGCAAGCTGTTCTTTGTGTTCTTCGGCACTTTGGCTGGCCACCAAGAAGTTATCGATGTAGGCTTACGCAAACGATAGGCCAGGTAGGACATGTTCAATGGACCTCTGACACGTTTGGTCGGCATTACGAAGACCGGAAGGCAAGCGGATGAATTAAAAGAGGTCAAAGGGTGTAGTGACGGCGGTTTTTGGGGTATTGTCAGGGTCTAAAGGAATCTAATGAAAGGCGCGCACCAGGTCAATCTTCGATAAAACCGTTTTGTCAAGAAGGGCCCGGAGAACACCTGAAGATCAAAAAAAGAATACCAATCGCGAGTGGTGACATTATTGAGGGCACGATCGTCGCCGAAGGGCCTCCAGTCGCCCCATGTTGCCTTAGGCACCATGTACAGAGGGGACAACCAAGGGCTTTTGGATGGGCGGATAATGCCCAGTTACAGCATACGCTCAAATTCCGAGGTGTTCTTTCATACTAACTGATGCGGAGTTGAGAAATCGATTTCGGGGGACGCGACTGGCGATTATTCTTCAAAACGACTAGGAATCAGTAAGCGTTTTGGTACTACAGTAACCTGCACATTCATCTACTAACTTGCAAGAGGAAGTATGCTTCTATTGAACGATTATATGAAATGCTACGTGTCTGATAGTAAATGGATGCTGCATAATACTTGAGTAGCGCTTCTATACCGAAGGCGATCGGCGAAGGAGTCTAGAAAATCTCTGATGGCATGGATGCCCCGCTCAAAAATGCGTCCTTTTCGAATGAGTAAAGTTAGTGCGAGTTATTAGGCAAGCTATACCAGAGACCGTTTCAGAGGCCAAGCTGAGAACGTTCCGCCCAGCACCTTTGTTAGGCATAGTGGTCCGGTAACAAAGGTCAGTAATTCGCGTTCATGTCGAGGTGACCTTGGGTCAAGGTCGTACAGCCCTCTCTTTGTGCGGCACTAGAGCTATGGATGCCAGCAGACAAAGGAGACCTCTTTGTTGACGGCGCCACAGCGTCTGCAGAGCTCGCTTTTCGTTGGGACAAAAATTAATGCAAGCATTTGGCTTTAATTTTGATCTGTGTTCGTTACAGTTAATTCTAGAGGAAGATTCCCGGGGACTCTTTTATGGTGCATTTCTCGGGCGGCCAAAGTACTCCAAAGTATGTATTAGCTTAATTCCTATCCCAAATCGTGTATTCGGTGGTAGGAGATTTCCGAGAGAGACGGGTATGACCATTTCTAACCCATTAGGCGTCATCATCCGGCCATACCCAAGCCCAGGGTTGCGGGACCCGACCTCGATTTTGAGTTCCTCAGTCATCAAGTATCATTAAGTCGAAAACGCTACCAATTGAACCACGTTCTCCTTTTCCTGTCGGTCGCTATCGCGTATCGTCTCGTACTTTTCTCTTTCCCCAATATGCTTGCCAACGGCATGATTTTGTTTTGAAGGTCCGAATATGCTGTGCCCACCGAAAAAACTGCACCTTATGACAATTATTCTACACGGAGAAATCACCCTGGTGAACGCAAACATAGCTGCGCAGGTCGACCGATTTTCGTGCTTCTGCCCAACCATCAGTAATGACTACCGAAGTTATAAACAATCCCTCACCCCATCGAGCTTTGCTGTTAATCTATTGGACGAGACCCAGAATGTCAACACGTAATGCATTTATCCTTCAAAAAAACATAAATTGATTTATCGATCCGCCCCTTCCGAACTTTAGTACAAACACCGCGACTTCGCCATATAGCGCCCCGATCACCTACTGCTAGGGCTGGTCGAGGATATCCCATCCTAATTTCCTCTTCCTTTTCACCCTGCTCCAAAATGTGTGCATGGATTGGCAAACATGACTGACGCCTCGACCGCCGGAAGGAACCATGGTCCTCGCGTGCCACATGAAGTGTTCGTAGTGCAGCTGACTTGCGTGTGAATCAGTTTGTAGTGAGGCTGACTTGCACAGCGCCTACCGCACTCTCTCTTGCCCTGTTACCTTTCCCCGGTAGCCAGACTGTCAAAGCGGCCAGATGCGGGCGCGAGCGCTATGGTCAACGAAACTAAGCGACCCCTCTACGAGTGCCACACACACGGCCTGGTGTCCACAATATGCACCTGACTATTTTAAGGTTGTATCGAAGCTAACTTCAGCGAGGGCCTCATGAAGTCCGCATCAAGAAGGAGCTCTTGTAGCCGGACACTCAGTCCTCAGCAGGACCGAGTTATCTCGTCGGTTGCCAACTTTCCAAGTCACGACGTCCAGTCCGTCAGGACTGATATAATGAGAAATGCCCTAATATGCCTCGCGAATGAGTTCTCTAGCGTCGACTTCATTCCGTCTTTCTTTTTCCACACAGCTGTCCACTGTTCGCACCTGACAACCAGCTCTTGATGCAATTCGGCGCAGTGGCTAACGCAACATGAGGGCCAATGTTTAAGGTCTGCCAACACAGGCATGCATGGCCGTAGCTACAGGCTTGTGCGGAGTCAGCGCTGCTCGAAAAACGCGTATCGCGAGGCAGTCTGACAGCCGGATTGTTCCAGAGCATCTACAGTGCAGCACCTTTTGGAGGCTAAGTAACGAAGAACCTGTCGCGTTGTGATATGCGCAAACTACGTTCATGGCCATCTCCGACTGTCTTGATTTGGTTGTGTTACTGGTGGGTGTGGGAAGGGAGAGCGAGGTCCGTGTTGAGGAGGCTTCTTCCATCATAGTCCACCTCCTGAGGTGATGGTGGTCATCATCGTATTTTTCGGAAGCGACTTGTTTTAATTTGGTGCACGTGCTGTAGAGCTGGCGTCATACGGCTACTTGCCTGCCAGAAGTAGCTTTAGGCGCGGCAGAATAAACGAACTAGAACAATGCAGAAGTCACTGAGATGGCAGGACGAAGTCCTACATGATTGTGCACCGACGAAGTTGGTCTCAATGATAGCAAGTGTTCATTTTCACTAAATGTCATATCTTCCCGCAGTCAGCCGTCGTCCCGGTCTTCAGGTACACCCTCGTCATTCTGCTCTTCCTCCAGCGATCTCGAACTCGCGAAGCAAAGGCGCAGGCCCAGCTGGCAGAACTGAGTCTTGTTCGTAGTCGTCTGCTGGCCATCGCCGCCTGCGATGCTCAGCAGGCTCGTGTACAGAACACGGATCACCTGCAGCGCATCCTCGACGTAAGTCCCGCTGTTGTCTAGACCTTCCGCATGCTGAACTAGATCTGTATAGCGTGTATCTTTTTTCGAGGTTTGTGCATATGTTGTTTTACTCCGTTTATCAACGGGAATGGGGCTAACTATGGGGAATACAAATCCCTGTAGACTGGGAGTTTGTATATCATCAGTTCACATTCTAGTATTTTAAGACAGTGATGTGCAGCACAGCAGCTCTTGCCTCCTCGGGAGAAGGAGGAAGGAGGAGACTGGAGGCCGGAATATCACAGAGAGTTTCTCACTCCAGCGGGTTTTGTTGCGCAATCACCCTCTTGTCCGTCTTTGTTTAATTCTCCGCCGCGTACTCACTTGTACTTCCCTGTGATGAAGGCGATATACGGCTCCTTCTCGAACAAAAGAAACCGCACCGCTTCTCAGCTCGGATAAATCAACGCCTTTCATAGAGGAATCGCAGATTCTGAAGCGTCGGATCGAACACTTCGGGAGTGTCCTCAACCGTCCCCCCCCGCAATCTCCGACGCAACCATCGACCGGCTCCCTCAAGTGGAAGCCATCCCCCACCTGGATCGCTAGCCCCCTCTCTCTCTTAAAAACCATCCGACCGTTCAACAGCGAGAAAGCGTACAGCTCCGATGAGATCCGATCTGCTCCACGGAAAGGTAGAGCCGGCGCGGCGACTTGCGCTTGAATTAGTTCTTAATGGCAGTAATCTTGCATAGCGTCTACCGCACTCCCCCACCCTTCCCTACCTACTCTCGGTGTCAAGACATAGTCAAAATGACTGAAGACGGGATAGGGTTCAGGTGGCTGACAGGGCCGGAATCGCATCTAGGCAAACCTCCACACCTGCTGACCTACGAAAAACACTCGACTAGGATGTTAACCGACGACAATAATGAGTCAGAAAGAGAAGATGATGACATAAGTCACCGAGTAACCGTGCATACCACCTGTGTACCTGACGAGAGTGCAAGCGCATCTGCCGGCAGGGAACCATGTGCCAGAGAACTGCCAGTGCACACCGCGCTTCATAGAGAAATTGCAGATCCTGAAGCCTCGGGTCGAACACTTCAGAAGCGTCCCCAACTCTCCCCCCGCAATCTCCGACGCAACCATCGACCGGCTCCCCCAAGTGGAAACCAATCCCCACCTGGATCTATAATCCTCGTTCTCTCTAAAAAACCATCCACCTGTTCAACAAATGTCCAGAGAGAAAACGTTCAGCTCCGATGCGATCCCATTTGATATCTACAAGCACAGTGACCATTGCCTGATGGAGCAACTGACAGCGCTAATGCAGGAGATGTGGCGCTGCGGGCTGGTTTCTGAAAATTTTAAGGACGTAACCGTCGTATATTTGTACAAGTGCAAAGCGGACCGGCATCACAGGGGCTTCTCGCTACCCAACACCGCCGGGAAGATCTTCGTCCGCATCCTCCTCAATTGTCTCAACGGCCACCTAGAGCAAGGACTCCTGCCGAAAAGCCAGTGTGGCTTTCGACGTCACAGGGGCACCACCGATATGATCTTTGTCGTCTGCCAGGAGATGTAGACTCACCTCTACATCATCTTCGTGGTTCTGACAAAAGCTTTAATCACGGTTATGTGTGAAGTACTGTAGAGAATCGTACTGGAGTTTGGTTACCCCAGATGATTCACGCGCAGCTCTACAATGGGATGATGGCGCGCATCACGGACAATGACGCAGTCTCCGAGTCATTCGCAGCGACCAGTGGAGTGAAGCAAGGCTACCTACTCGCGCTCACCCTCTTCAGCCTCATGTTTTCTGCCATACTCACGGACGCCAACAGTTATGAACGCTAGGGGATACGCATCGCCCACAAAACTGACAGGCATCTTTTCAACAACAGGCGCATGCAGGCCCTAACGCGGCCATCTGCGACCCCGGTCCACGATATATTATTTGCTGACGACTGCGCGCCCACCACCACAAACGTGGACTACATGCAACGGGACATGGATCCCTTTTCCTCTGACCATCAATGCGAACAAGCCAGTGATCACGCATCAACAGCCGTCTACCTCTGAATACAGTGCCCCTCGCATCCGCATAAACGGCACTGAACTGAAGAACGTGGAAGACTTCAACTACCTAGGCATCACAATGTCTCGCTGCATCAGAATCGATGACGAAGTTGTGGCGGCTAGCCATCATGACTGGCCCGGCGTCATTGTCCAAGACCTCGCTGCCTCAAGGTCAATCACAACTTACAGCGAGCCGTCCCAGACGACATGACCTGAAGTCACACGACCAACAGCTCGGGCATACCTGCGTCCGCGCAGTCGCAGCTGCCCATGCGGCCACTTGAACGCGCCACCCCCTGCAACCACAACCTAAGCCACTGGGACTCCACCCCTCAGCAAATGCAACACACACGCTGACCGGACACCACTTGAGCTTGGCCCACGATTCTACAAAAGCGGCTGCCACCACTATCTCAGGGACTCTCAGGCCTGACTGGACGCAGTCAACACCAGTCCTGGCTTCGCCAGTGGCCACTGTAGTCTGAGAGGAGAACTCTGGGTTCTGTGCACAATAAACCCCTCAAGTCGGTGCCTTCCATCTCTCTCCCTCCAGTCTGGGATTTGACCCGATGACGGTAGCGCACAGATCACCTACTCTCGCCGCCTGGTCACCACAAAGTAGCCCATCGGATCGCCAACTCCAACCAAGCCTTCGGCCGACTGGGGAACTCCATGTGGAATTGTCACGGTCTCCGACTGAATACCAAACTGAAGATATACAAGGTCGTCTTCCTGATGACACTTCTCCACCGAGCGTAGAGCTCGATCTTGAACTCCATCATGCCAAGAAGCATAGCCAATTCCATTTCAGCTGCCTGCGCAGAATACTAAAATTGAGAAAGCAAGACAGGATCTCCGACACGGAAGTTCTAAAACGGACTAGAATCCTCAGCATCCACGCTATGCTGAGGCCACTACAACTACGTTGGAGCGGGCATTTCGTGAGGAGGGAAGATGCACGTCTACCGAAACAGCTCTTCTATGATGATGTAACCACCGGTGCTCGACGACCGGAAGGACCAAAATGACGCTACAAGGACACGAAGAAGAATTCTCTTAGACGAGTGCATAGCAATCCAGAGAGTTGGGAGTAACTCACCCAGGACAGACCGGCCTGGAGAAGAGAAGACCAGCGATGCCATCTACTAATCATACGGGATCGCCTCCGCCAAAACAAAAAGGGGCTCGGAAATCACAAATGCCTCGCCCCTCCAATGCAAACCATCCGTCGCCTCCATTATGCCCGCGCTGACAACGCCTATTCCGCGCATGAATCGGCCTCGTTGGACACCTTCGGACCCACTACGTCCTAAACTTGACAGCGCTCACCTCATCCCACTCTCGCCCCACGCTGACTGCCACCCCTGTCACCGCTGATCACACTGTCGCTGCCTCACCGCCACCATCCATCGACACCATCCGCCCTGCATCGACCGCAGAGACCAGCATCAGCATTAACATGACTCCACGCACTCCCCCGCCCACGTTGGGACAACGTCTGATGTCCCAGCAACCTCTGCCATCATTTTCAACACTTCCACATTTAGCGATGTGGGCTCGTTTCATGCCTGTCCCCATTGCGATCTCACGATCACCTCACACATCGGCCTGGTCGGTCACTTACGAGTCCGTTGCACGGAGACTGGCGAACCAGTGCCATGAGAACCAATATACACTCACCGCACCCGCCCCAACTGCCCTCATTGCCCCCGTACATTCACTCATCGCATGGGTCTATTAGGTCACATGCGCATTCACGAAAACCTGTGGTGGCCAACCGCTGGCCACATCACACATTCCCCGCCACTCCCTGCAAGCATTCGATTGCCACATACCACGCAACGGGAAGTGTGCGCCTCAGCTCCGCCTCCATGCAGCTCCTACGCTGCATGTGCGATCTGAGACTGAGACTATCATGGTGCCTCAGCGCCGTGGCTTGGATGGCTGCCAAATGATGTCTCGACCCATTTCACGCAGTCTGCCCAATTGTGTATGCTGGTGTGGAGTGGCGGACTGGTGGGCTAAGAGTCAGGTTGCCACGGCCCCTCTCAAGCGATCTGTGACACGCTCATGCACTTCCAATCTCCCGCTTCAATCTTCGTGCCCGTACCTCCCACCTATCCTCTCTTCCACCCACTTCGTCCCCTCCCCCTTCCTTTACGCCCAACATCTCCATCCTTTGTTTTGTTTCCTCCTGATCCGTCACGACTTCCTTTCCTTTGCCTTAGTCTGTTCTTCTTTAATGAATTCGTTCTCTACGCGGTCGACCTGAGCCAGCCGAGATGGCAGGCCTTCTCCAGTTGTATCGAGCAGGTCCTCCGCGGTGCTGGCGTGCAATAAGTCACGACGAAACGGGACCCCGGCCGTGGCAGCCTGCTCTGTTGCGGGTGGGGAATAAGCGTGATCTCGGGTAAGTGCCGGCGTCATCACTTTCTTTTAATAACGTGTGTGGAGTGCGGTGCCATTCTGCTGCACGATATGCGGCTGGAATTATGTTGAGGAAATGCGGTCTGCCGCTGGCTTTGTAGCGCTCCGATACGGCCGATGTTATCTTTCCTCCTCTCCCCGCCTGCCCGCATGCCTAGGTGCCCTTTTGCCATTGTTTTCTCCACAAATGGTAGTTTTCATATGCAAAACACCGTCTAACACCCGCCCATTTCCTGATAATTTGTTTTCTCGTGTATAACCATGGAGAGTCCTTTGTTTCTTCGGTGAAAAAAACAACTTCCTTGCAGCACCGTCCGTACGCACCCTCACATTTAAAGTATGCCTTCACAGCGTAGGGGCAAAGACAAATTATCCAGTATGTTAACTTTGGGATACTTACTGACAGGTAAATGCATCAGAAAATTTGTTACATACCCTGGATAGTCTGCATTGTTTTTGGGCTGTGGAAATTATAGAGCAGACCCTTTCCGTCTGAGTGATATTTGCCTTTAACTAGGCTTGGATTTCTTCCGGTGAACAGAGGTATGGTCCAAAGCTGGAGAGTCGGGTTATCGTTTCTCCTGCGCAAACCTTAACGTGCAATTTGGCCTATTAAGTACCATACCCCGCAGTTTGACGTCGTCGTCGACACTGTCAACAGTCTGTCCCACATCAAGGCGGATGCGGGGATGGTGACTTGCGCGTGAAATAGTTTTTAGTGGTAGACGACTTGTGTTGCATCTACCGCACTCTCTCCTTCCTCGCCCACCTGAGCCCGGTGTCAAGACGGAGTGCCGAAGACCAGAGGCAGGATCGGATCCAGTGCCTGGCGGAGTTAAACAACCAGTCTGCGCGTGCCACACACGTCTGATTCGCACACGGGGGACCAATCTTTCATACAAATAACTAAGGTGGTGGTGGGGGGACTCGGATCTCGACAAACCGTAAGGGCCATAAAGGCCTCATTAAGAAGGAACTACTGCAGCCTGACTCTCCGTCCTCCAATGAGGTCCGACTTATCCCGGTCAGCTGACGGCAGCCTTCTAAGCCGTGGTAGTTGGAACGCGCGTCAGACTGCCAATAGGTGCTGAGTGTCGTGGAGAGGCTGCCCACAGAGTCGACCTCACTGCCGTTTTCCTCCTCCAGACACCAGTCCGAGTCGGTCAGCCATTTGATGCGGCAATTGGGCACAGGTGGCTGGCGCGTCCTGAGTCACACCTCCGTGTGTGTGTGTGTGGCATCTGTTATGGGTGCGTCTCCTGAATACAACATGATCTGGCCCTCTTGGTGGTCCAGCTCATCCACCGCCTGGCCTGCTCTAGAGGCGCTGGCTTACATCTTCTCATGCCTTGTCGTCAAAGTCTATGGACCACCAAAAGTTCACAAACTCAACGTACCATTGCGACCGGTAGTATGACTAATCGATGCACAGAAATACAAGATATATAAATGGCTATTCTAGAGTTGCGAAAATTCCCATGGCAGTAATCAGAAGACGAGGTGGCGAGCATACGTAGCTTCCGATAAGTTCTCGTCGGGTCAGTACAGTTATATAGGAACGAGGTAGAAGTAAAACATGTCAGCAATAAGAGAAATCGATAACAGTTCCCCTTGAAAGACTGGCGGGGTGTAAGAATATGGGAGAGGGGGGGGGTTAATAACAGTCACTGTCAGGGGCGGGGCGAGAGCGGAAGTGCGCGGGGAGAGTTGCAGACTTAGTCGACCTTCGACCACTGTAGGCGCGGAGCCTGAACGTGGTTCTTCTGTGCGCACAAGATTGGTTTGCGCAACCTAATGGCGGCCGCCTCTGCTGTCGCTAACAGGCGCTGGCCTAGTACCTTAGGGTAGCTCGATGGGACCTTATAAATTACACAAAAAGCTTCGTTTGGGTCCACACGATATCCGGAGTCGACAACATGCGCGAGAATGGCGCTGCTTATGCTCCTAGTTTCGCCTTTTCCCAGCCATGCCGGGAGGTGTTCCCGTGTTCTCTTGGATAAACGCCGACTCGGGCGACCAGTATGACCTGCTCCATACGAGCAAATGAAGGAATATATGCACATTGAGGTGGTCTGCGGTGGCAACTTATCCTTACATTCTTCGCGTAAAATAGGGTTTTTAGTGAATGATATTTGAACCCTTGCTGTTGGGAAGGTTCGCGAGACAGCTTGATCAAGACGTCTCCCTAGGAGTTCACTCGCCGCGTCCCCTTGGAAAGGGACTTTTAGGAACAAATTTTTCCGTTCGGCGCTCCATAAACTCCGTCCATTAACAAAGGTTTCTGAAATTTCAGCTGAAAATTCTATTGAATTTTAGACAAACTACGAGGACTCACAATTGATGTAGATGAG